GTGTGTCAGATAAGAATGGTATATGTGAAGTATCGTATGTATAGCCGGAGTCGTTTATTTATACAGTATAACTGATCCGGATTGTATGTGCTCTACTTCGTCACCTAAAGTCTGACTATGCTCTTAAGTTTAATTGACACCGATTCCAGTAAGGTAAGCGCCAGTAATACTCCCTTCCTTCTGGTTGAAAGGGTCCAATTCAAAAATCTTCCCAGTCAAGGACATAAATTTTTCTGTTTACAAAAGCACTTAATTAGTGTGCTCGTTTTTCTCAAAATATTATTTTCAACAATGCACTAATTACAACACATGCATGTGCGACCATTAAATGACCAAAGACTTTTACATGCATGAGTGAGTTTCCAGGGACTTTTGTTTCCTGGGACTTTTTTGTGTAGGGACTAGAAAAAGTCTCGAAATATGAACATATGATGGTGAATAATAAAAATAAGACTAACAAAATGGAAAACAAAATGAGATACTCCCTCCGTCCTTGAAAGAGTACAAACTATCTCAAAGTTTGATCAAGTTTGTGCAAAAATATACGAGTGTTTGTGAAACCAAATAGGTATATGATGAAAATATATTTTTATCGTGAATCTAATGCTACTAATTTAATGACATAAATGTTGGTGTATTATTTTTTAAATACCGTCAAACGTAGAAAAGTTTAACTTTCCAACAAAGTTGGAAGTACACTATTTTACGGACGGAGGGAGTAGACCCTTACTACCTTGCGAACCAACTTTTGGTTGGATGGTTAGGACGACAGTGGTATTCCTAGCCTATTAGGGTTCAAGTCTTAGACTTGACATTTATACTCACATTTTTCTGGATTTATCTGAGTCTTTTCGGCGATGTTCGTTCAGTGGGAGAAGATGTTTCCGTTGAGTACGAGACGCTTGTGGTGACCTTATCAACCTTAAGATACTATGTCGACTTATTCTTTGGGAGATGCTCATAGGGGTAGGGTGTCCATGTGTGTGTGTATTCATAGGGGAAGTGTATGCTTGTGTATGTGAGCGACTTTGATTGTACTGGATTCTAAAAAAAAGACCCTTACTACCTCTGTTTTGGTTTATTAGTCCTCGTCATATTTTGGGTCAAAGTTTGACCACATATTTGACTGAAAATATTAATGAATGCCTCCAAAAATTGTAGTTTTGGATTCATATTTGAATGTAGTTTTTTATATAATTTCTGCGACGTACAGTATAATTTATACTTTATAAGTTAAAATCATATTCAAAATATGACACGACGTACGAGAAGGCTAGTTAACCAGGATTGGGTAGTAAAACGGAAGGGATGGAGTACTAGTCATCATTAATTTCAATAAAAAGCAACCCATTGGGAGTTGAAACAACAAATGCTGAGGTGTTGAGGAGGAGGAGGTGGACTATTAGTACTGCTGGAGGAGCTCTCTCCGGTGAGCGTCACCACTCACACCTACTGGCATAGTAGCAGAGGCCAGCGGAAGCGGAAGGCAGCGAGAAGGAAAAAAAAGTGGCATGATAAGCAAGGTAATAATCGCTAGATGTAAAATCTAAGTGCATCTCCGGCCACGCCCCCAACAGGCCCTTTCCAGGCGTTTTTGTCGCGCCGGCGCCAAAAAAACGGCCCAGTCGCGCCCCCAGAAACCCGTTTTCCGCCGGCTCGGGCCAAAACTGGTGCCGACGGACCCAGACCAAACCCGGTGCCCTGGGGGCGCTTGGTGAGCCGGCACAAGCGAAAAAGGCGCATGGGTCCGCCCTGGCGGCATCCCGAGGGCCTTTTCCCGCCGTTTCTTGACGCTTTTCCCTCGCATCCCTCCTGCTCGCTCGCCTTCCTCCCGTCATTCCTTCCATTTCTCCCGCCAAACCCCCTCCCGCTCGCCTTCCAGTCGCCGCCATGCCGCCGAAGAAGTACGTCATGCCGCGCGCGGCGGCAACCACGACTGGCACCGTAGCCCAGCCAAAGCAGAGGAAGCCGAGGGCGCCGCCATTGAAGCCACCGGGCATGTCGAACGCCGAGTGGAGGGTGGAAGTTCAGCGACGCGACGCAGTCACCGCCGACCGGTGGAACAGGGCCATCGCCAAGAAGGCCCGCGATAACGCGGCGCGCGCGGCGGCGTCCTCCTCATCGGTCGACCACGCGGGGATGATGAATCCACCCGTCGTCAGCCACGCCCAGTACGCGCCCTGGGGACAGCAAGGCGTCGGATCTCCATGGGGATCGTCGTCGCCCGGCTACGCCGACGGTGACGCGCACGGTGGGTTCAACCCAAACGTGACCTTCCCCCATGGTCACCCCGCGACGCGCACACCCTCGCCCGCCTTCGTCGGCGTGCAGTACCCTTCATACAACTACTCGCCGCCCGTCTACGCGTCCACACCGACGCCCCATCTCCGCCGTGGACCGCTGCCCTTCTCACACCTCGGCGACGCCGACGACACAGGAGCCGACATGGACGACATCATCGCGACAGGATCGACCGCGGCCGCCGTGTCTCCCGGGTTCGCCACCCAGGACGAGGTAGTGGATCTCAGCGGCGACATGGAGGCCGAGCTCGGCTACGTCTACGGCGAGGACGCGCACGAAGCGCAGGAACCCGAGGAGGAGGAGGAAGAGGAGGAGCCAGCTCCTGATCCGACGAAGGGGCGCCAGAAGAAGAAGCGAACGGCTAGGACAGGCGAAGCGCGCATCAAGTGGACGTCCAAAGAGGAGGAATGCCTCGCCGAAGCATGGAAAGTCGTCTGCCTCGACCCGACCACCGGCACCAAACCAGAGCTTCGAGACGTACTGGGACCGCATCAAGGCCGAGTTCGACGAGCGGAAGCTCGTCGATCCCTACTTCAAAGGCGTCTACATGCAGCACGGCTCAGAGGCGATGGCGAACCATTGGGGGCATATCCAGGGCGCGTGCAACAAATGGCATGGAATCGTCGAGGATGTCGTGGCTCGCCCGGAGAACGGCGCCAGCGTTGAGGATCAGGTACGCACGCCGTTCACCCGCATCTCTTCGTCGTCTACGCCCACCGCCCGCCAACTGTTTGTTCCTCCGCGCAGTTGCTGCGCATGTTCACCATGTATCGGCGCGACAACCTCGACGCCGACTTCAAGTTCCTCCACGTCTACAAGCGCATTGACAAGTGCGAGAAGTGGGCGGAAGTCCGACGTACCCTCGACAAGGCCAAGGAGACATACAAGCCGGACGTGATGACTCCGGGCGCGTCAGAGGGGCGGCCGGACGGCCACAAGTTGGCAAAGAAGGGGAAAAACGCCGACGCGGCAACCGCGCGAGTGCAGGAGTCCATCGAGCATTGCCTCGCCGACGCCCAGGCCCGGGCCGTCCTACTGAAGAGAAGACCGAGGCGCGGTGGTCGTCGCTGATGACGAACAGCGCCATCAAGCTCGACCTGCTCCGGACCAACGTCGACCTGCTCCGGACGAACGTCGCCGCGAAGAAGAGGAACACCGACATGGCTTTTCTGATGGGCGGGGCGGACATACTCCAAAGCAACGACGAGCAGCTCAGGGCGTGGTACATGGCGGAGCGCGGCCTCATCCTGAACCAGATGCAGACGGCAACGCCGACGACGCCAGCTCCCGCGCCCACGGCCGCACGGACGCCAAGCCCGAATGACGCCTCTACATCGCCGCCCAGCAGTACCGAAGCCGCGCCGACACAGCCCAACACCGAAGCAGCTCCGACACTGCCGAGCCCGCGCACGCCGACTCTGCCAACGCCTGGAGCCGACCCCGCCGAGTGATTCGTTGCGCACGCGAACTTGCGGCGTGCGGCGCTCTGTTTTTTGTAACGCCAGACTACGTCCGATCGCCGGATTTGTGGCGTCTTTTGTGAGCGGGAACGACCTAGTTCAAATTTCCCGCATCCGGGGGCCAGCGCTTGGGGGCGTGACTGGGAGTTAGGTCGCCCCCAGGGGCCGAACTAGCGCCGGCACGCCCCCAGGCCGCTCTATTTAGGCGCTCTGGGGGGCCGAACGGCTGGAGATGCCCTAAGCATTGCATTCCCAGTTCCCAGTCCCAGAATAACTCTTCGAAGTGGCTTCTTTCGATTTAGGTGTCGATGGGGTTGGTGATTCTTTCTGAAAACCCTCTTTCTTCTGTTCCTCTACTAGTGCTGAATTTCCCAGATGATTTTCACCGTTCTTTCCTTGGGTCTTTGCGTGATTCTGAATCCAACATCGAATTTCCCTTTATTAGTAACGTGATCGACGCAAGTACATTTGTGCGTGGAGAGATGAGATTGGGGAGCGTGACGGCGACGTTCCGATGCATGCCGGTGGCCACGCCGTGTCTGCACTGCACGCGCTCTCGATGGGGGAGCACTCCAACACGCCGAAGAATCAGCCGCCGGCGTGGAGGTTGGTGCCGGAGGATCGGGGTTTTTTTGCAGGTCACCACGTCCAGCAGCCAGTTGGCAGAGGGGGGGGGGGTCCGATGGACCATGGGGACAAGGATAGGAGGCGGCGTGAGGTTGGCGAGCTTGGACTATCTCAGCTCGGCCAGAAGAAACTGGGTTCGTGGAGAAATCTTCCTTTTCTCTTCAACCATCAAGGATCAAGCCTTTTTATTTTCAACTTAAGAAAGAATCAACCCTAGCCACCACACAGATCTCCTTCTCGCTGGCGGATTCAGTCTGTCTCCTTCTCCCCCATGGCCGGTTTCAGTTGACAGGAGGCAGGGGAGACCATGAATCTTCATAATCTTCATCAAGGGGCGTTCTTTTTAAAGCATGGACTTGCTTAATACTAATCTGTCCCATAATATAAGACGTTTTTGCAGTTCAATTTAAACTGCGAAAACGTCATATATTATGGGAGTAGTATATAACTTGCGACCTTCGAAAAATAAATAAAAGAAAGAATTAAAAATCCAAATTCACACTGAGGATACATGAAATTGGGTTAAGTACAAGCCTTCTTATTGTTCATGACTTCATGTCATCTTACCACCTGCCACTGTAAATTAATTTTGCACTGCAGAGGGGCTGCTAGATGGGCACGTCTTTTGGAAGCTGCAAGCTGCAGGATGAGCAATACCAGTACTACAAGAACTTGGATGATGAAAAGAAGTATTTCTTGGTGCTTATGTTGGGTGATTTCCAAGATGCGATGGTAACCCTATTACCCCTCTCTGCTTTTTTAAGACAAATGATGTTTGTACAAGTATCTAGTACTTTAGTTCTGTTATTAATTCAGTCAATTTCTTGACGGGCAGACTATTCAGTTACTTTACAAAAAATTCCACATAGTTTTCTTTGGGCAATTACAAGTAAGGTCCAGAGCCATTTTCGTTTTAACATGTTCCCTCTTACCTGCTCTTTTCACATGAGAGGTGAGAGTAACTCTTACCTTCTTACCTCTCATGTGAAAAAAGAAGGTAAGAGAGACCATGTTAAAATTGCTCGTTTCTTAAAGATTAAGAATACTAGCAACCAGATATGAGAAAGGCAAAGACGATACACCTTGATTATAACTATTGTCATTTGGATCTTGCGCATAAACTGTCCATAAAAATGTCTTATATCTGTCTGCAGATTTTATTTTATTTGATAAAATTAATCTATTAACAGACCATCTATTAATATCAAGATTTCTTTCTACAGATAATTCCAGAAGAAGTTGTGCGGCGTTTCAAAGGCGAGATCCCAGTAGAGATCAAGCTGGAAACCCGAAATGGTTACAGTCACACCATTGTGGTTGCCAAGTACCAAGAAAAGCTTGTCCTTACAGTGGGTTGGCGGCAATTTGTTGAAAACTATGATCTACAAATGGATGATTCCTTAATATTCAGATACAAAGGGAACTCTCAGCTTAGTGTCATGATCTTTGATAAGCTTGGTCGTGAAAAAGCATTATCGGTTGTTCCGGCTCCTTTTTTGCCTCAGGTCCAAGACAGGCGCAATGAGGCACATGAAATCAGGTGAAATATTAAACTTTATTATTCATGGCTTTATTTCCAGGTACCAAATTTCACTTCAAATGGCTTTTACGCTGCAGGTATTCTCAAAAGATGGATGTGCCTCGGGAAAGAAGAAAAAAGCGGACTGAATATCACTACGCAAACTTGGATGATGAGAAGAAATATTTCTTGGTGCTTATGATGGATGATTTTCAAGATGATATGGTAAATTCATATTCAAATACAGTACACTCCCTTTAATTGGTTACTATTTTATTTTCCTGAAGACCAATGAATTTATACTTTCTAGTTTAAATTCTGATGCAATATATATAGTTTTAGAGACATACACAAACTATATGTAGTTTTGCCATTTTTTATGGTGTCTCATGTTAATTTGATGCGCGGATCGAATCCAGCATGGTAGCACATTCAGAGATGTTTGTTTGCAAAAGGTTTCCTCATAGTTCAAAGTAAAGATACCATGTTCTCTGTATTTCCCTTGGTATGTTATGTAGTCAGATTGAACGTACAAATTTGCTTTGATAATAGAGAGCATCTTTTTATCCTGTTTACGGTCCATTTTTCAAACAATAATATTGGTTGTTTCTCTCCAGATCGTCCCAAAAGAATTTGTTCAGCATTTCAAGGGCGAATTCCCAGGAGAGATGATACTTGAAACACAAAATCGTCGCAGTTGCAAAATTGGAGTTGCCAAGAACAATGGAAAGCTTGTCTTCACAGTGGGATGGGGGAAATTCGTTGAAACCTTTGGTCTAAAGATGGATGACACCATATTATTCAGATACAATGGGAACTCTCAGTTTAATGACATAATCTTTGATGAAGATGGCTGTGAGAAGGCATCATCAGTTTTTTTGGATCCTTCTCCGCCTCCTGTGCAAGAAAGGCACAGAAGTGCTACTGATACTGTGAAAAGTTCTCATGTTCATACTCAGGCAATTCAATCAGAGTCATTTAGCATAGTGGAAGGGATGCCGATGGGGTCACCATGCTTCAAAATGGAAATGGACAAGTCATGTCAAGACAACAACACCGTGATAAGTATTTCCTCCTGCGAGTCATCAGGTCTCAGTTTACGATTATAGATATACCTTCCCTTGCAAATGATTCTCATAGTTTTATAGCTAATATTTAGTTGTTTCTTTTCTTTGCACAGGAGAATCTTCCTCTGAAGAAGAATATGTAGTACATAAAGTGCCTCGTTCCGATTATGTCAGGAAGAGGAAGGCCGGGCAGTTGAAGTATGCCAATGGAGTGACCACACTATCTTCATTTAAGCAGGGGCAGTTGAAGGACCATTACATTACCGCCCACAAGACCAAACTAACTTCAACTCAGAAGGAAGTGGTGAAGCAGAAGGTCCAATCCATATACACAGAGATCCCCATCTTTGTTGCTGTGATGCGCAAGTACAATGTTGTTGTAGAATTCTTGCTGGTGAGTTCCATTTTTTTAATGTGTGTTCTGCATCAATCATGTAGGTGCCCGTGTAAACTGTAAAGTGCTGCTTATGGAATATTAATGAAAACACTGTCTGATAATGTAAATTCATAACCAGCAATCTCTAAATTTGATTCAGGTTGCTTTTTACTATCATACAAATTTAGGAAGCAATTTAACATGTTACTTTACAGGGTTTTCTTGCCATTATCTACTAACTCTTTTGTTCACTGTAAACAGACTTTCCCCAGATACTATGCTAAGAAATATCTTGGAGAGGAGCCACACATGTATCTTCAGCGGATGGGCCGGAAGTGGGATGTGTGGTTTAGTGAAAACAATGACTGTAAAAATCTCAGGAGGGGATGGAGACAGTTTGTAGAAGACCACAAGCTGAAGATTGGTGATATCTGCCTCTTTAAACTGTTGAGCATTCAGAGTAGAACCATGGAGGTCTACATCATCCGTGCAAACGATGCCAATTATCGGGCAGGTCTCCAGAATGATAGTGACCAGGAAGCGGCTTTCCAGGGAGGGGCTCCTGCTCATCATGCGCATGGAGTTAAAACTGAAGCTATGGAAGAAGATGTTGTTGCCCTTGATGGTGCCTGATTGCCCAAGGAAAAAGTCTGGTGTCTGAAGACTCTGAATCAAGCGTAGCTGCTGTTTTTGCGCTCTCTGGAAAACGAGCGATCCTATCGATCATAAGGCCTTGGTTACATTGTAGTAGAAAGTTTAAACTACCCTGGTGCTCAATCTTGCTCCGTATTTTCTTTGTTTTTTTAGCAGGCTAGCCGTGCACGTGGCCTGGAACTCCACTAGTTGTGGTTTAGCTGCCTTTTAGTTCCCTTTTGCACCTATGGATGCTGCCTTTGTGGTTGCAGTTTATTTCGTTATCATGATGATGATAGTGGAACCCGGCCCTTCATGGCTGTTAAATTTGGATGCTTTCATTTATTGAGATGCCATGTTGCCGAATTCCTTGTCTCGGAGGTAGACTGGTAATGCTTTCATGTTGGTGCTAGTGCTTTTGTTGTTGATTCATGAATCGCTACTGATGGTGATATCATAGTGCTTTTGTGTTGATTAGTGAATTGCCAGTGAAGTTTTCTACTTTCTCTTTTAAAGATAACAGATCCCTCGTTTATCAGCATGGGCATAGTCATACGCCCAATCAGGAGACAGACTATATTGGGTTGTTCAAATACGTCACTGAACTATGTCAGAAGTTGAGTCAGTTCTGGGATGGTAATTGGTGAGGTTGTTGGTGATGCCTCTGTAAGTCTGTAGTGAAATTGACAATGGTCATTACCCCGATGGCATTGCCCATTGGTCTGATTCAGTTGTTCCATGGATATGATCTGAAGTGCCACTTGTTCAAGTGCACAAATGCCCTTCAGAGTTACTGGAACACCGTCTCGAACTGACTACTACCGGAGACGATCAGTGTGAGCATGATCTGACCCCAACTAATGTTTGCAGTTTGATTGTTTCACCAGATTCAGCACCAGACAGTGCATGTAAGGGTAGCTGAAAACACTCTGCTGCAACCGGTTCAGTTAATAATTCAAGAGCCCGCGCTGCATCTTCAGTTAACACTTCACCATATTCGCACACCTGAATTGCGAGTGATTGCATCAGCTGCTTACATTGATGGGTTTGCTCCTTGCTATACTTATCTCCGCAATGAAAACACACGCCATCTACTACGACACAATCCCTTAACTGTCGATCAAGACCGAAATCATCCGCTAACTTACACTGAATTGCAGCCTGTTGTGTTGCTCCTGCACTTGTTCTCGCTCGGGTTCCTGGTCACGGTCCCCTGTCTCCACCGGTGAGTTGGGTTCCGTGACGTACGCGTGCGTTGCTGGGGGCTCCTCCGGTGTCTTCAGCATGGGAGGAAAAATGTTGGCGAGTCGCGGATCCTGACGAGTTCGTGATGTTGTTCCTGTCTCTGTGCCGCCAAACTAGGCTTTGAGAGGTCAATTTGCAACAGGGGAAAACAGTAAGGTCTTTTCTACAAAATTACCAACCCCACCGACCTCATGTGCGTCGTGCGTGACCGCATAACAGAGAAAACCGGGCGGTTGGCCGGTTCAAATGGCCATGTGACTTAACTGCACCCGCAACGCAAGTTCTGCCATGGGTTTTTCCGGTTTGCAAGTACTGGGACTGAAGTGCACCCATGACGCAAGTTCTCTGACCGCCAGTGCCATCTACTCTTTATTAGCTTGATTACCACTTGACCTGCAAGATGATGCACGTTATTTGCTGATCATACATTTGAATTTTGATGCCAGGTTGAATAAGTAATGGCATTGTACTGCGTTGAATCTCTGTTTGATTCATCTGTTCTTGGACTCGTTATCCACAAATTAGGCGTAGCAGGTCCAACTTCAGCTTCGGTTGTCACTGGCGGCGGCGAGGCCCCTTCTTCTCCTCGTGCGAGGGGGTGTGGCGCGGGCCATATCTTGCGTGCCGGGATGCGACGCTCGATGTTGGGCATGGCGGCGCTCCGACGTGGGCCAGCGACGGAGGCATGGCGGTGGTGCAGGCCGGCGGGTGGTGACGGTAGTGGCTGCTTCACGGCAGCACCTTGG